ACCTGGCCGCAGCGGCTCGGTGATGCTCAGCACCAGGAGAAAGAGGAGGAGGAAGGTGCCGCTGTCCGCTTTGGGCACCATTTATCCTCCGTTCATCCTCCCCCGGCGCAGCGCCACAAACCCGCGGGGAGCGAAGCGCGGGGCGACGCTCGGCGGGAGGAGGAGGAGGAGGTGGAGGAAGAGGAGGAGGTGGAGGCACGGCCGCCGGACGATCCCGTCCGCGCCGAGCTCTTCCCCGCCCCGTCCGCCGCCGCCCCCGGGCGGGAGCCAGCGGCCCTGGCTGCGGCGGCGGCTGCGGGCGCGGGGGTAGCGCGGGGGTCGGGCGGCGCCACGCTGCGGGCCGCTCGCCTGGCTCCGGCGACGCACAAGATGGCGGCCGCGCCTCCCCGCCGCCTTCCCCCGCGCCGCCACGCCCCCCCTCCCTCCGGCGCGGCTCTCGACCAATCGGCGGCGCGGTGGGCGGGGCTCGGCGCCCCCCTCCTTGTAAGCCCCGCCCCCGGGGTCGGAGGCTGAGGGGCGCGCCGTCGGGGCCTCGAGCGGGGGGAGGAGGCTGCGCTGCGGGGTTCGCGTCGGGATGGACGGGGCTTTGCTCCTAGGCGGTGTGGTTTTTTCCAAATATTTTTTAAAACGGCGGTGAAATCGAGAGCTGAGATTTAATTAAAATACGCAACTCGATGTTTTCCACTCGTAGGCAGCGGTTCCAAGGTCACCAATAAAAGGCTGTCAATGCCCCCCCCGGTCCCCGCTGCCGCCCCTCCAGCCTCGCTCAGCTCAGCGCGTGCCCTCTCCCCAGCCCCGCGTCCCGCACCCCGCTCCTGCTACCCCTTTCTCTAACTGCACCCTCCCCCTTCCTGGCTGCTCCTGCCCGCACACAGCAGGCAAAGTAATGCTGAGAGAAAATAAATCAAACCCCGCTATAGCCCAGGTGGGTTTTCACATTGGATTTGGCCGTCTAAGGTGCTGTTTTGGCAAAGAGTTCTGGCAGCTCCATTGCGGATAGCAAGGGTGCACGACTGCAGGAAGCAGAGCCCTGACATCAAAGCAGCACTGCAAGAACGGCCTGGCTGCAAAGCCCTTCCCAGAGCCAGCTTTAGAGCATTTCCCTGGAAATAAATTACAGCTCTGACAAACGCCCTTCAATCCATCAGAACTAAGGCTTCTGATTTCAGGTTAACTCACTCGAGGGAAGACACAGGACCAGCACCATCCCATGCCTCAAGGTAGCTTATGCAATCAGCTTTTAAGCACGGATTGCACAACACCAAACCTAACCATTCTCAGACACGGCTCTATCTGTGCTGTTCTGTGAGCCAGCCACATCCTGGTACGAGCACAGCTCCTCAGAAATTCCAGGATGCATCCAGCCGGGAAGGCTGAGAACTGAAACGCTTCTGTATGCACATCACCCGTCAAGCAGGGCCTCTGAGTAGAGGCAACCAATTCGTATTGGCTTGCACTACAGACAGAGCAACACAGAGCAGAGCCTTCAGCACACCCTAGCATAGATGTGAACACTTCCTGGGGACAAGCAGATTGTGGGAACATTGTGAAATAAACCTTTTACCTAAAAGTTTCAGAGCTGTTTACCCAGGTTGGTCTTTAAGGAATATCACTGAAAACACGGACACATCAGTAAATAGATGTTCTTTATATTCATCCATCAGCACCTGAGAATAGGTTGGTTGTTTCTTCCTTTTGCCTGAAGAAAAAAACTGAGCCCTTGGTTACTTCCACACTAAAAAAAGCAAAACCTTTTCGTTTCATGCACTCACAAACCCCAGCGACGTCGTATCACTCAATTTATTCTCACAAGTTGTGCTATAAAAGTCACTTGGAAAGGTCACAGCCAGGGACAGGTGCTGTGGAAGTGGCAGTGGAAACCGCACAGGAGGAAGCTCTCCACCAAGGCAAAAACAGCCCCAAACACCCTCAGCCTTACAGAAATCCACAGGCACTGCTCAAAGAGCTGCATAAATATTTCCATGGATATTCCCTGCGGAGAACGCCGTGCGATTATAGCAAAGCTCCAGGCTGCCAAGTGTTACACAAGCTGCCCAGTGTTCTGCAGGCTGCCCTGTGCCCAGGCGTGGTGCAAGCAGTGTACTCAGCTGGCTGTGCCTTCCTGCCAGCAGGGCTCAGCTTGCACCCAGAGGTCAGCCTGTACTGCAACAACCACAGCTCAGAACGGTTAAAACTGTTCTTCGTCTTTCTGGCTAATTATAAAAAAATAGCTACAAGGTTCAAAGACGGGGGGGGAGAATAATAACCAAAAGTCCCAGTCTGGCAGTCAGAATGTTTGTCAGAATGACATTGGCGGGCTGTGCAGGATTGTCCCCAGCCCCTGCGTTCTCATCATTAAGGCTTTGAAGTCATACACTTGGGTGTTGAAAAACTACGTTTGAAAAAGCAGAAACCAACATAAAGCAAAAAGCCCCCGAGGCCGATTACAGTGAAGCAATCAGCACACACACAAACCACCATCCTCCCATCAGTTCCGAAGAAGTGATGTTGTGAACTCTTCTCAAGTAAAGCAGAAGCTGGAAGTCAAAATGCAACTTACTCGATGAGTAAGGGTTTAAGAAAATAACAGCTGCCAAACCCACAGGAAGCAGCCAATCATCAGAGCTACGAAACAGAGGGGCTGAAAGAGAACCAAGGAAAGAAAGTTAAGGGAAAGCACCAAGCGAATAGAAACAAACAGTTCTTGAACGCAGCCACTGTGAAAACAAAACAAACAAACAAAAAAAAAACCAGCATCCTTTGCTTCCCAGCACCTTCAGGAGCTCCTTCATGTAGTACTTAACCCTGTGTGCCTCCTGAGATACAAACATGAACAATTAAACAACTTCAGAAAGGTTTCAAAACACGACTGCAATAACAAATTCAGATACATCGTTGTGCTTGAACATAAAGCCAAGCAGCACACATAGAGCATTGGTCCATTCAGTGAAAGCATTTAAAAAACTTAACCTACCAACAAGTATTTTGAAAACTCACCATAACCAGCAAGAAGAGCTAAGACTAGATTTCCATCCATTGGGTACGGCAGGAAACCTTCAGCAGTATAGAATCATTAAGGTTGGAACCACTAATCTTAGCCCACATCAACCCGTCGCCACCACTAAACCATAGTCCTCAAATTCAGTTGCTTAAGAAAATTTTCCAATAGTTTAATGCCTTCAGGAGGAGCTTTCTTGTAATCACTATTATGAACGATTCCTTCTCCATTTTAGCTTGTGGGGAAAAAAAATAATAATCTAAAACTGGTAAACCAAAGACTGAAGTGGAAGACACCCCTAAAGTAACACTGAAAGGAAGGTTTCAACCTGAGCACCACACCAGGAGAAGTCTCGTATGGCAGTGAAATTAGCCTGCTGCAACAGGTTATAAAGCAATGTGGCTGTAAAGATAATTGACGACAGAATGCCTCAGGGCTTCCTGGACTAATTTCTCCCCAGGGAAACAGATGGAACATTTGCACCACCCATCAATCATCAAAACTCTGAGATCTTTGAGGTATCAGGAGGGAAATTGTACATCTTTATGGAGCAGGGGGTAAAGGGAGACCTCCTGGGCCACGTCAAGCTGACAGAAGCTGTGAAAGAGAACTTTGCTCACTTTAAGTTCCAGCAGCTGGCTCCTGCCATCAAGCATTGCCATGACTTAAACGTAGCTAACAGAGACCTGAAATCTGGGAATATCCTTCCCAAAGAACATTTAAACGTCAAGATGTCAGGCTTGACTTCTCCAAACATTTGTCTCAGGGTGAAAAGGGAAGATCTATTCTCAGCAAAACCTTCTGTGGGCAAATGCAGCCCCTGAAGTGCTGCAGGACATTCCTTGCGACCCCAGGATTTCAGACATCTGGAGCCTGGGTCATTTTGCATACAATGGTCTATGCATTAATGCCCTTTAGTGATTCTAATGTCAGAAAAATGGTGTGTACTCAGAAATGATACAAGACTGACTTCCACGCATCAAAATACCTGACTAAAGACTGTGAGGACCTTATTTTCCACTTGCTTCAGCCTGACACATCTCAGAGGTTGTATGTAAATGAAGTTTTTGAGATGCTTGTGGTTCCAAACTCCAAAATCCCAAATCCCTACCCCCTCTGCCCACTGCACAAGAGGGTGAGTGTCCCCAAAAACTGCAGAGGAAAAGCCTGAGCATGATCAGCAAGCCAAAACTTCTTTCTGCGGGATGGAAAGGTGGGGTGAAGGAAATCAGATTCTCTTAAAAATTGATCCAGCTTGTGAACTGCTGGTTTTCAACTTCAACTACCCCCAGCCCTTTCAGAAATAGTCATCTTTTGCTTTACAAAGTTCATCTACTGAGATGAATGAACAACCATCTCTGATACGGTTTGCAATAACCAAGAGTTTTGGTCAAAAGCACAAAGGAAAGCTTTCTTTGGAGTCACAGTGCTGTTCACACTCAAGCTTCTGTTACACCAGCTGCAGAACGCAATAAGTAAGATTGCAGGTTATTAGGAAGTGTGAATTGACATCTGGAACTGGGTACATTTTTTCACAAAGTAAGATTTCTTTTGACAAGTCTACCATACACTGGGAAGCACCAGTTTAAAATCCACTTGCATTAAAGAGATGTCCCCTACAACCATGAGTGACAGAGATGTGTATATATATATGTATATAAGGGTTAGGGGTCTGGAGCATCTCCTGCACAAGAAAAGGCTGAGAGACCTGAGATCTCTTTGGTCTGGAGATGAGAAGGCTGAGAAGGGAAGAATTTCTTTACTGTCAAGACAGCACTAGAACAGTCTGCACAGAGAGGTGGTGCAGACTCCCTCTCTAGAGATACTCAAGTCTCACCAGGACGTGGCCCTGTGTAATCTACTGTAGGGAAACTGCTTTAGCTGGGGAGTTGTACTCTATGATCTCTAGATGTCCCTTCTAACCCCTGCAGTTCTGTGACTCTCTGACATCCTCTCTTCTGTAAAGGACGAGACCAAAAATGTTTGACAAGCAAGAGTAAAATCCAGTTCAACCTTTTAGGAAGGCTTAACATATTTTATAAATAGACATATTTGTATAGAAATGTATTCAAACACATGGCCATCTGAAAAAAAAAAAGATATTTAAAAATTATCACTGTTTGAGCTAAGAGTCCAGATTCTTCTTTGCCACTGCAGGAAGCATCCTTATGATACAGCTGTGTAACATATCCATGCAGTTCAAAGGGAAGTTATACCACAGCAAGAGACACTTGTCTTCCATAAAGCACATCACAAGCTATTTCAGCTACATAGTCTAGATTTGGTCCCAGATCTAACTGCTGGCTTCCAGTCTGGCAGCTGAATCTAGATACCTCTTACTACTGATGGTTCAAAACATCCACGTTGCAGACAGCTGAGCATGGGCTGTTCACTGTTGACTTGCTGATGACAAGAACATTTAGAAGAAATCAGATGCCTTCCTTCTTTTAGGAAGCTGTAGTAAATTATCTGTGATTGATGTAGTATCTTGAGATACTGGTGTCTGAGATACTGTCCTAGACTGTGGGGTGGTCGTGGGTGTTTGGGGCCCATTTGCTGGTGTCTTGTAACCAGGAGTTCCTGTGTGGGCTGGAGAAGGAGTATAGCTGGCTCGCAGGGCTTTGTCGGTGTATTTACTAGCAGTCCTGTTTACCAGTCGTTGCAAAGCTGGTGACATTGCTGGGCTTAATCCCTTTGGAGTGAGGCTGCAATAGAAAAGACACTTTTAAAGACCTTACAGTAAAATTTTTTTTATCAGGAATGCTATCAATGCTTCCACGGGAGAACCTGGTGCCCGCTTCCTCCACTGACCAGACCCATTGGCAGAAGTCATTTTGCCTGCAAGTAAATGCAGCCTGATCCTCTAGAGAGAGAAGTAACAGAGAAACATCTAACATCCCTCCTAAACATAAACTGCACTGTCTGCTTATTTCCTTTGAGCCTGTGTCGTCCTTCCTGTGAGCCAGCCAAGCATGCTGCATCAGGTCTCATCTACTTGCAGTGAAGCAAGACACTGATCCAGATGCACCGCCTGGGTAGCATAGGGCAGAACAGTAATGCTCACAAGAGGGAGTACCAGGAACAACCACCACCCACCTTCCCTTGGTGTGTTCTTTTATGCCTAAAAATGTTTCCAGCACTTTCCTCATTCCTCCCTTTCTGCATATATTGATTTAAATCTCATCAGATTTCACCCCCAATTCCTCCATCACAAGAGAAGTCTCACCTGGCCAAGTTTTCTGTGACTTTTCGAAGTGCCTCCTGCTTCTTTGCTCGATTTTTAGCTGCCACTTCATTGGCCATCTTGAGTCCTAACCTCTCTCGACGTCCAGGCTCCAGGATCTATAAATACATCACACACTTTACCTGCCAAGGCAGTAGGTATGAGCACTGTATAAATGAAACAAAGCACTTCCATGGTTGGATTGCAGCTGACAACAATCTAAACTGGGGAGGAGTGGGATCAGCCCACTCTTCTCTTCTGCTACATAAAAGCAAGAGAGGACATAGAGAGATTTTCAACTTGCCTTTGCAAGTAACAAATATGGTAGAACCAGTTCAGTCAAGGAAGCAGCCATTACATCTGGCATTTCCTCCTGCTGTCTCTCATAGACAGACAATGTCACCTCTGTCTTACCTAGCCTGGCCCATGGCCAGCCAGCTCTCAGGCAAATAAAGGCATTGCTAAACAGCAGGTAAACCAAACAACTTCAAAGTCTGACAAAACAGAGGCACGCACAAAAAATTACTCTTTTCTTAAACTAAGAATCTCAGACAACTCACATTCAATGATACCAGCAGGAGACAGGTTGCACACAGGGTCAAGTGTCATTAACAGAGTACCTTTCCAACCTTTAAGTGATGCAGCTGCCTCAGACTTGGGAAATATTATGATTTCTACCCATTCCTACATTAAAATCAAGGAAATGAGGCATCTCTTCAGCTTTCTCCAAAAGCCCCTTTGTCTAGGCCTATCACCAAACTTCAAGTCTCACTGTCGCCAGCTGTGTGTTGCACCTGAGATATCTGCACTAAGTAGCTTTCATGTGGAGCCATGTCCATCTCCACCCTCCATGCAGAACACAGGTTATTAGTCTCAAGGACTGGGAACGCAGCCCAGAGATGTGTCACACATCCCACAACAATGCTAATCTATTAGTTACTCACTTGTCTTTCCCTTCTTAGTCCATGTCCCCTCAGCCCCAAAGAATGACACGTTGACTCCTATGAAATACCTTGAAGGCTGGTCCAGGTGTGCGATCCACATACGGTGTTTCTGATCCATCTAGACGTAAAGGGGTGGTTTCTATTTCACCCCATGTCATAAAAGGAGACTCATTCACACCTGAAAACAAATTTTAAAAGTCATACTCAAGGTATTTAACTATTTGGTCAGCAAAAACAAAACAAAAACAACAGAAAATCCACCCACAGAGAACCATATTATGAAATGTAGCAAACTCAAGACACAACTGAGCCCTTCTACAGCCCGTGTTGAAAAGTTAACATGTCGTTCCCATTACAAAGACATGATCTTAAACACCAGGTACTGCTCGTGGCTGTCACCCTCCAGCTTACAAAGCCCAACCTGATCTTTCCATGTGTATATTTTTCCACTGGTATGCTTTTGCTTAGTGAAACTTTCATTTTCTAATTCTACAGAACCAATCTTCCCCTTTGATACTGTATGAAAATTCCTTCAATACGTGGAACTATTTAAAAGCAAGGAAATGATAGAAGACTTAAGACATGGAATAACCAAATGTCTGTGTCAAACAATGACTACACCTTGCCTAACAGCTACAATTACAGAATAGATTCTAAGATGAAATCACTGGCTAGAAAATCTGGCTGTCCACTGTTTGGAAAAGGCATTTTCACTGATGAAGAGAGGTGCATTCCATATGCCACCTACAGGCTTCTGAGGAAAAGTCTCACTACATTCACATTTTAAGAGGGATAAAAAAAAAAAGGAAAACCATGTTGGTGAGGAGCAGCTACAAATTCAAACACCATATCTGAACTAGAAGAAAAATAATCAGAGTGTTCTAACTGAAAGCATCCTGAAGCCAGTACATCTGAACAAAATGGAACTGTGACACACAAGCAGATTCAGATGAAAAGAGGAAAACAGCCATAAAGAAACCTCTTACCAGGGGCAGGAGAGGGAGTAGTCACAAATCCATATCCATTCACTTTTGGAGACTCCTGGGGTATCAGCTCTTTCCCATCTGGTCCTACTTTCCCCTGTTTGTACTGAAATAATAAAAACAGTGTCATTCATCAACTTCTAGAGAAAGATGCCAGCTATCTGTATCCAGCACACACACATCATCAACCATTATGTTGTTTTAAAGGCCTTTGATCAAAAACAACAAAATTATCCAACCTGAGCATTGAGGGCTGCAGCTTGCTGGAGCTGTGATTTGCTCAAGGCTTGGCTAAATGGATCTTTCACAAAACGAGTGTTCCGATGGACAACTTCCCTGGGCTTCTTAAATGTGTCCTCCTCATCAGGTACACCTTGAAATGCAGAAAGTCTTTGTGAAAGGCCTCAGCTACAACATGATAGAATTTTCTACAGCAACCAAGCGACCACAGAACCAAAGCAGCGCTCTTTGAGCAGAAGCAGCAAATGACTGAAGACAATGAGTGCTTAAGAATAAGATGAAACAAACCAGAAATATTTATGGCTCCTAAAAACAAATGCTTGTTCAGTGACAGAACACGATCCAGCTTTGCAATCAGAGGCAATGAAGCAAGATCTCAAGAATGATGCAGGTTGGGTGGAGAAGACTCTTATAACAGCTGCACATCTCTGAGCTACACAGAAGAAACAGTGCAGTAGCACCAGTAAGAGCTGTTCTGTCAGAAGGGGGATAAGCACTGTCTGGAGTCAACAAACCTAGACAGATCGCCCTCCTGCGACTTGCATGCCTCACCTGTTGGATAATACATGAGGGTGTTTCTAGCAGTGTACTCCCAGGTCTCCAGCCCAGCTTTCACATTCTCCAGGGCTTGCTGCTCTGCTGAAGGAAGTGCCAGGTTTTCATTTCGTCTCTGAAAGGACAAGAGAAGAAAAAATTAGGACTGAAAACGTACTCCTGCAATCTTTTCATCAAGCATGCACCACTTGCAAGAGCTGAATCACAAGCTCAGCTACAAGTCCTAATGTACTTAGCACCTGCAAAGCATGAGCTCCCTCCTTCTGGCAACTGGCACTTGAGAAACCATCCTGTGCCCATAGGTGAGCTTACAAAACCCTGTATGAGCTCTTGTATAAAATCAAGTGAGCACCATAGACTTAAAAAACTCACAAAGATTATGTATCTATTTGTTACACCTTCTGACAACACTAATGATGATTCAAACAGCTTTCGTTTTTTTCCATCTACTAATCAAAATTAAGTTGAATGCTTCATCACCAGAAAAAAGAGAATAGCAAGATCTGCCACGTATCTCATACAAAGGCAGTCTTCAAAACTAAAGTGAGTAGCCTTGAAAGAATCTTTCTACCATTCTACCATACCAGAAAATGTATTAGCTGATACAAGCAGCAAGAAAAGAGCAGAATCTTTTTCTATACTATTAATCAGAGGGTTTTCAAACTTTTCCATAAGAATACAGACATGGAAGCATTTGGCAGAGTCTGAACAAAACAGATGGTAAGAAAATATACCATTTAATTAAACAGGAAAAAAATACAATAAAAGGGCATTTCCCTCTTGTGTCATTTTGGAAGTGCAGAGAGACGCTGGAGCCATTTCCCTACCTGGGCATACTCCTCTTCCGCACTGTACAGCCAAGCATGCTTGACTTTCTCCTTCTCCTTGGCCACTTCCATGATCTGCTCAAATGAAGCATTATCTTCACTCGTGTGTTTTGCTAAGAAACTGTCCAGATTGGGAAGAGCATCTTTATCATCTTTTTCTGCTTCTCCTAATAAGAAGAGGGAAGAAGTTTGACAAAGGTTAATATCTCCCTTTCTGTAAGAGACACAAGCCTTAGTTCCTTCTGTGAGTAGCTCTCTACTGACCCACTAATAATTAAACTTAGGGGGGAAAAAAAAAAGAAGTGTATACATGCAGAAAGACACAACTTCAGAAAACATAACCAACTTTCAAAGAAAGGCTTTCACTACATTTCACACATACATTCATTACATACTAACAGCTACTCCTGTTAAAGGAAAACACACAAGTGCCCAGATGCCAGCAGACATTTCTAACATGCCACACGAATATCTATGCCTCTGCTATCTATGCTTACTGACCCTAATTTCAGGTGACACAGGAGAAATTTACTACTTTCCAACAAATTCAATGCATTAGGAAGTCATACTGCCTTAAAGAGATCTATAATTGAAAATTCACACAATTTCAGATTGATTATTTTCACTTACTAGAAGGTTAAAAGAAACTGCTTAAACATTGGCTAATGTTTAACCTTCACCAGGGGACAGAGTTCACAAGCATATTTTCGTGCTGCTGAGGAATTTAGCGACAGAAACATTATTCTCCTACCTTCCTCTGCAGCTCGAGTGCCAGCTCTGGATTTATTTCCCAGAGGGAGACCACCTGGATGCACTTCTGGGGTTTCAAACGTGGCTGGGGTAACATCTGTGACCAAAGAAAAACGTTCGCATGGTTACCAGAGCACAGAACTGAACACTTGCCATGACATTCTGCATCACAGGTCAGGTACCAAACATGAATCACAGAAGACAAATCACAAGAAGAACAATGTCATTAAAAAGTTGTAAAAAGGCTATAAAACATTCTTTTCAATATGGCTCCCATCAACAAACAGCATCTCTCATCTGAGACATTCCCATGCTGAGAAAAATTCACAGGAGAGTCACAGGTGTACAAATTTGCTGTAGCAATGTGAGCTTAACAACCTTAACACAGCTCAGTGTTTTCTCCCACAGCAGGGGAGGAAAGGAATTCACCGTGTGAGATGTGTCCTTTTGCTATGAGAAAGCTGCTTAGCTAAACTGCCCACAAGAGCTCAGTGAGGCACTGGCCTTCAGCATAAAAAATTCCCAAACTCAAAGTGAAAACAAACACACAACTGAGCATCTGATGTTTGCTGCATTAACCTTGGGCTGTCATGAGCTTTCCATGCCTTCCACCCCAAAAACTGTAATGATGATTTAGAACATAACCTAAAGCTTCTCACAGTACAGTGTTGTAAGGTACAGCATGTGATCTCTGCTAATAAACAGGAGCTTGACAAAATATGTCTGACACAGTTACCACACTGCTTTTTTTTCTCTGGAAGGAATTATTGGACACTATCAAAGAGAAATATTACATCAGTCATCAGATACTGACTACTGCCCAGTCTGCCACACTAATTCCCATGCAATGTAAATCTGTTGTATGACATTAGATAAGAGTGATAACATTAAATACAAAGCTTTTTACCTTAAAAAAACCCAAACAAATAAATAAAAAGCTGAAGACCATTTCTCTCTCTTGCATAGCCCACGGTATACAAAATGTCAAAGCATAACGTCATTTTTCTGTTTTGTTTTGTAGAAATCATCTATAATATCAGTTTAAACGTTAAAACAGCGATGGTGAGATGGTTCTTACATGGCACAGGTGTGTCCCGCGATGATTTGCCCAAGGAGGAGCCAAATTTAATAGCGATTTGCCTCATTTTCTCCAAGTCACCATTTTCCTCAGCTTCCAGATACTCCTTTTGCGCCCGTAACTTCTCCACGTCGGGAAAGAAATCGCGCTGAATAATATTCTCTAAACTCTGCAAACAGAAAATCGCAGGAACGTGTCAGGACCCCTCGTTGGGCCGTTCGGGACAGGCCGGGCCGCGAGCGGCCGCGGTGACACGGAGCGGGGAGTCCCGGGCCCGCCGCCCACCTCGATGTAGGCATCCTCATCCAGGATCTTCTTCGGACGCTTGGCGGCCGGTCGGACGGCCTCCCTGCTCCTGACCACGGCGCCGGCCTCGGCAGCGACGGGCACCAAAGCTCCGGAGGAAGGCGCAGGAACGGCCGCCATGACGCCTTGACCCTCCTCGGCCGCCGTCGCAAACGCGACGCGACGTGACGTCATAATAACGCGACAAAGAGTTGGAGAGCTCCTTCCGGGAGAGGAGCAGGGAGCCGCTGTCAGCGCGCCCCCTTGCGGCTGGGAGGAGCGGACAGGGCTCCCGGTGCCCCGGTGACGGTGATGCCGGGGCAGCGGAGTCGCGGCGGGGCCTGGGGGGCGCGGGCGGGGCTCGGCAGCTCCGTAGGTGTGTATGTGGTGTGGGGTGCGGGTCTTTGCCCGCACAGGCATGGCCGGCATTGCTTGGGGCGAGGCGCCTCGTCCTGGGAGCCCCGAAGCTCAAAGCCACGGAGCTCAAAGCCACGGAGTGCTGAGAACAGCCTTCATTGGCACGTGTTCATAAAGCAGAGCTGACACAAACACAAGCAGCGCAGCCCGGGGATCCCGGCCGGGGCTCACGTGCACAGCACAGGCACGGTCCCCACACCACCTGTCGGCTTCGTGCTCGCTTCAGCATCTGAGAGCCACATCACTTCAACAGGGCTCAGCACACAGACCGGGTTTCAGAGGAGCCCCGCCTGCGTTCACCCATCCCGCTCCCTGAAGCCCGGCCCCGCTGCTCCCCTCCCGCAGGGCCGTTAGCAGCTCTCCTTGGGCGGCTCTGCGCTGCCCTGAAGGACCATTGCCGAGGCAGATGCTCTCTTCTGATGCCTCCACTTGGCTCGACGGTTCTTAAACCAGACCTGGAAAGTGTAAAATGAGAAAAGAACGTCTGCATTGTGTTGGTTAGGCAGGAATACCCTTGGGCTATGCAGACTGGCACTGGGGTATCATAGAATCGCAGAAAGACTTGAGCTTTGTGGGACATCAAAGATCACTTAGTTCCAACCACCAGCTACAGGCAGGGTTGCCACCACTAAATCAGGTTGCCCAGGGCCCCATCTAGCCTGACCTTGAACAGGAATGGGACATCCATAGCCTCTCTGGGCAGCCTTTGCCTGGGCCTCACCACCCTCTCAGTGACAAAAATCCCCCTGACATTTCATCTACATTTAATCAAATACCCAAAATACCAAGAATGTTTTTTACAACAAGACTCCGAACTCTGGGTCTGCAGCTCCCCAGAAAGACAGTACCGTGCCCCAGTTTTTGTTCTCCTGGAGTTACAGTGAGCAGAAGGGAGAAAGCTCCTCCCAGCACCTCACCTCCACCCTCTCCTCCTTCAGGTGGATGCGGTTGGCCAAGTGCTCCCTGGTGATGACGTCCGGGTATTGGTTCTGGTGGAAAAGTGTTTCCAGGGCCTGCAGCTGCTCCTCGGTGAAAATGGTGCGATGGCGGCGTGTCCTGCGCTGGATCTGCTGGAAGGCCTGCAGCTCGCTGGGGCTGCCCTGAGGGCTCTTGCAGCCTCTGACCGCCGAGTGGAGCAGTCGCATGGGCCAAGGGAACCTGGTGTCTGCAAGGAGGGGGACGGTCAGCTCTGGGGATGAGCAGCTGAAATACAGTGGCATCGAGCACTGTCTGCATCTGCGCTCATTGCGTGGACGGAGTACAGCTTGCATGGGTGAAAGATGTATGATCACAGTGCAAGCAGGAGAAGGGCCCAGAGTGTCACTTGGAAAGAAGCATATAGGTGGGGAGCACTAGTGTTGTTTTCTTTGTTCACTTACCTGTGATGCTGTGGGCAAGCTCCAGAAAATGACTTGGAAACTTAACAGCATGGTTAGGAGTTGTTTTTCCTTCATAACACGGAGTATTTCTGAACTTTCAGGATGCTTTTGAACCACGAATTAAGGTTTTCTATTTTTCTTTTATTTTCTTTTGCTAAATGCATCCACTTTGCTAGATGTAGATTTGCTAGATTTTTGCTAGAGCAAAAAAATCCTCCCACCTTTCCCTGAAAGGACAAGTGAGATTCCCAAGAGCAGGTGGTGCAAAGGAGCTCTGTCAGCATGACCATGGAGCCCATGCTCTCTGCAGAGCTCCTACCCTGAACTGCCACTCTGTGTGCTTTACCATAAAGCAGCAATACTTGGTAACAAAAAGCACCTGCTGATTTCAAACCCTGGTGAGGGTGCTAGCTCTCAGAAGCCCTGCTAACAGCAGACTCAGCAGCTCCTCACCAGAGCTGAGGTCAGAGAAAAGCACCCAGCACTGTGGCAGGTTGGACACTGCACTGTCACCCAGCAAACAAACTGCAGCACGTAGAGCCCCAGTCACTCACCCAGCCAACCTGGAGGGTCCTGCAGAGGCCGTGTGCCCGTGTGGGAGCAGCAGCAGCAGCTACAAGCCGCACCTTCCAGCTCTTCTTCCTCCTCCTCGTCCTCTTCGTCCTGCAGGGCAATGCCCTCCAGCTCGCACAGCCCCTTGGGTACACAGTCCAGGATGCTCTGGAGACAGAGTGGAACCAGAACCTGGGGACTCCTCTCTGCCGGGCTGGCGAGGATGTTCTCAATGCTGAACGAGCACTGCACAGCTCTCCTGCCTGAGCTGGCATCCAGCGTGGGCTCTGCAGACATCCTTGGCTGGGCCAGTGGTAGTAGAAGCTCACACTGAGCAGGGTCTGCTCTCTGCAGGGTCTTGCAGTGTTAACGAGCCCTGAAAGCAGAGCAGTGAGGCTGCCCAGAGTCCCTGCGCTGTCCCAGAGTTTCAAGTGACGGTCATTCTGGCAGCAGAGTTTTTATTTTATACACACACACACTTTTCCTCCCTCTAACCTGGCTGCTTCATGCCTGAAGCTACCCTATATATAGAGAGAGATATAATCCCTTTGGAAAGAAAACCATAAACCCCCTTGTGAATAAAATAAATTCTAACTAATCTTGGCTTTGTGAAGGGTTAGTGTGGATCTAAGATTTAGCTAATCCCACAAAAATGACTCAAGAAGGAAATCTGATTTCTCCATCTCAGGTGTAGATTTGAGGTGGTTATGATCTCCATTGTGCCGAAGCCTCTGGTGCAGGGCAGGGGGAGGACAGCCATCCCCAGCACAGAAATGGACTGGAGGATTAACTCCTTACAAGAAGCAAATTATCCCTTTCTCTGGCCAAATGAAAGCTTTCCCATCAAAAGAGAGCTGTCATATCATACAATATGAGAGAGAAGAGAGCTCAGCTTAATAAAAGGTCATTTTTAATGAGAGCATAGCCTTTAGCTGCACCAGAACTCTCTGCAAAAGTTGTCTTATTTTCTGCTGAAAGCAGAGAAATTGTATTTTCTCTTCTTTTTTCCCCCACCTTCATTGCCATAATCAGAACAGTAATACAGATGCTTCACATCTAGCATGCTCTTGGTAAGGATTCAAATCCCTTAATAAATTAGATGATGGCCATTCGCAGCATATTGGTGGCCTGGCTTGGTGGTACAGTTCAGTGGCACATCTTGGTGGCACGCAAGCACTTCTCTCTCAGCTGCCCGTGGGGAGGCATGTTGGATGTGTCCTGCTCACAGTGTGGAGAGGACGTGGTACCAGGACTGAACACTCCCTGGGAATTACCATGGAAGGGATGGGTGCCCGCACTGAGCCCAGCAAGATGAGCAGCCTGGGGACACAGTCTTGCAGGAGAGGGCTGAGCTCAGGTTGCTTAAACCCGAGTTCTCTTGCCCTGTAGAGATGTGCAAGCCAAGGTCTGCAGCAAGGTGCAGGAAAGCCACCTGGTGAATGGTGCTGCTGGGTGCTGTGGGCAGGGCAGTGTGGTGCCAGCGACACGGCAGTGAGAGCTGTGAAACTGCTGTGCATCAAATGTCAGCAGTTTTTCTTCCATCCCTCTATTTTGCTTCTCTTTTGGCTATTGAATTTGTAAGATAAATTATAACCAATTCAATACAAGGGGAAAAGCTCCTTGTGGCCTGCTGGTACCCACCCCCAGCTCCCAGCCCTGGCATGAGTACAGTGTGGGGCCAGGTCCTGCTCCCCAAATCAGACCCGTTCTGCTCTCAGCTGTACTAATCATATGGCTGAAGCAGATTAATCCCCGTTCCCCATCCTTAACAAAGGGCCTTTCCCCGCTCCCTGCCCATCCCTGCCTATTAGTGCCTTCACTGATTGCTTTTTTTCCATTTCTCCCATACCTTTCACTTCAGAAAATGGACCGGTAATGCTTCTTTTATCAAAGAATTATGTGATTTAGGATCCAGATCTTACAAAGGAGACTTTTGATAGCTGCTGTAATCAATCCCAATCGGCAGACACCTCTCTGCCCCCTGTTACCGGAGAGGAATAAAGGAAGGGATTACCGATGTTGTGTTTACGGCAGCTGTGGGCGATAGGATCTGGGCCATTTCATGTTAGAAAAGGAAGGGAAAATAAAACAAGAAGGAAAAAAAAATGCAGACAAGGAAGGACAATATAGATATAGATAAAAAGAAAAGAAACGGGCTCTTATCATTTCCTTATTGGTTAAGGAGATTCCAAAGCCATTATAGAAGATTAGCAAAAAGGTTAATCTGCTTTAGCCGCTCGCTTGTCAAAAGTGAATTTCGAGGGTTTGAAAATCCTAGGGGGAAACGGCAGAAATCCCCTCCCGCTCCCTGCAGGCAGGGGCTGCGCTCTGAAGGTCCCCGAGCTCAGGATCCGGCGCCGCGGGATGGAGCTCCGCCGCTCAGCGCTAGGGGGCGCTGCGGCGCGGCTGCGTGCCCCGGGGCCGCCTCTCCGCCCGCTCCGCTCCGCGCCGCGCCATGGGTGCCGAGCGGGAAGCGCGGGCCTGCGCCGCGTTCTACGGAGATGCGGGGCGGTGCGGGCCGGGCCCCGCCGTGCTGTGCTGCGTGCGATGCCTGCGGCAGTTCGCGGGGTGAGCAGGGCCGGGCCGGGCGGCTGGAGCGCGGGTTGGGGTACGGCGCTTCGGGGTGAAGGGGAGCCCGTGGTGGGGCGCTTTTCCCCGCGTTTGTTATGCGGGCTGCGGGTGGGGGAGATGGGAGCGTGGCAACCACGTGGAGCTGCGGCACTCCTAGCTGAGTTCAAGTCTAGTCTGGGTATCCGTACCACAACAAGCTGGGTCACGTCCTGTGCATCCCCAATGGAGATGGAGCAGCCCTC